CTGCCTGCCTACCTGCCTACCTACCTGCCTACCTACCTACCTACTACATGCCTACCTACCTACCTACCTACCTACCTACCTACCTACCTACCTACCTACCTACCTACCTACCTACCTACCTACCGACCCACCCACCCACCCACCTACCTACCTACCTACATAGCTACATAGCTACATACCTACATACCTACATACCTACATACATACATACATACATACATGCATGTGTCACGCAGAAATGGCACACATTAGTACTAAAACGAACAAAGCGAACACGAATGGCGACCCGGTAATTCGAAGCTCACTCTGCAAAGAGTTATGGCAAACAGGAACAGGAAGAGCAAGCGAACAAAATACCTGCACATGGGATTTGCAACAAAACACCTTCAACTTGCCTTCAACCATCGATTCAACTGCCTGACATTTGACCGCAGACACCTTCACAAATATGCCACTGGTTTTCTCAAGAACGAAGCGAGTTTGTCTGGGTCTAGGCTCTCAGAGATTTGACGCCGGCTCTGCCAGGCGAAGGCTCTGGGGTGGCAAAGGCCATCATGACAAGGCATGCCATGTTTGCCTTTGTTCCGCGAGCTGAGGTGAAGGTCTGGCGGCGAGTCAGGGCCTGATGCCTTGGAGGCCCAGAGCATCGGACTAGCAACGGGCAAAGTGCATCCGACAGAAGTCCGAGGTCAGCGAGTGATCAGGCTGGCATCGAAGGCAGCTCATTTTCTTGCTCCTGGTTGAATCCCATCTGCGTTCCTTGCCAGATCCCGAAACTGCGTCTGGTTGTCATGGTGCGCGAGCCAGTCGAGTGGCTGGAGCCCGCTCCTCGGATGTGTCCAGTTTCCACAAGCTTGTCCGGAGCCACATGAAAGCAAAGTACCTTCACGTCTTTTGGTCAAAGCCTGGCTGACTTTGTCCATGAGGTCGCTCTACAACCTGCGAAAGTTTTACCTGTGACTCGGCTGTGAAGCACAGCTTGGAAGTGGTCGCCCCGAGTACTTCGCTTCCAGGTGTCAGCAGCCCAGGTGTTCGGAAGTTCCCTCCATGGAGGCCCAGAGCCCCAGAGCCTCCCGTCCTAATCCCCGAAGCGTCGACCTGCACTGGCAGGATGTCGTTCTCAACGGCGTGACCTTCGAAGATGTCAACGTTGAGGTTCGCTGCACGGGATGCAGTGAGATGCAAGATTCGCCCATCAAGACTTTCTTTAACCCGCTTAGCTTCCCACAGACTTGTGCCCAGGATGCATTTCTGTCCAAGTCCTTGGAGCATGTTGCCGGGGCCTGCCGATGCAGAAGTAAAGCGCAAAGGGTGCAGGACGGCGAGTTCAGGTGAAGTTATTCCCACCCACGGCTGGTCGCTCTTTGCTGTTGGAGCACGGAGCCCATGCTTGGCTGCTTAGGGATGAAATTTCCGTCGCACTGCCAGTCCTGCGCATGAGAAAGGTTTGAGCTCTTGCGCAGTCGCCCGCGCGAGCTTTTCGACCAGATCACTTCCTTCCTGGGAGGGATCCTCACAAGTCACGCGCAAACAATATATAGAGCTTGTGGATCTCTGCCAAGGCATCGAACCATTTTCAAGGGACTTCGAGATCAGACGGCATGCCACAGAAGATCGACGCAGGCGATCATTTTGTGTTCGGTTAGAGATGCCATGCTGTACTTAGTACTTAGGACGGACAATGCTGCTTCGATCGATCTCACGAACAGAATGGTAGAAGCAGCTGTTTTTGGTCGCCGCAGCTTGTGTTCGACAAACGCTGTGTAGAGCCCGATGCCGCATCCTGCGGATAGTCGGCGATGCTCCCAGCACTTGGAAGCTCCAGAAGTCAGGGCCTCAAGCCAAGTGGCAGGGTCGGGGGGCAAGAGCTCCAAAAACGGCCCCGCGGCGTAGTTGTCCGCTCCGAGGCCATTCCGGTGGCGAGACCGCCCTGCAGGCAACTGCAAGCATGCAATCCCCGCAGACGGGCCTTCTGCGAGCGCTGAGTGGGGAAAGTCACCCCGATGCCGAGGAGCATGCAACATAGCACAAGCCAATGCAAGATATTCTCATGCTTGAGTGTGCTGCATTTCCATTCCCGCTGCTGCTTGAGGAAGCTACATATGCGGAAATCTCAGCGTGGCAGCCCCAGGTTGCACTTGTGCTTGCGAAGCCATGTTGATGGAATGGAGCCTTCCCTTGTCAAGGTGGTATCTCACAGGAATGACTCTTGGCTGCCATGCTCCTCTTCGAGTTATCCGCGTCCATGTCTAGTGGCTCTAGTGCCAAGGAGCGGCTGGTGGAGCTTGAACATTATCACCGAAGCTTGTCAGCAGAGATACGTTCGTGCTTCTAGTGTGTTGTACCAGGTACTTGCCACGCGCGACAATGTGTTGCAACATGGCTTTCGCGACAAACCTTCGCGAGACAAGGCCCATAGCACGCGCGTGAGCGCAAACAACAAGGCTTTGTTGCACAGCAGCCGCAACAAGGGCTTAGCAATAGAGGGGGGCCGCGACAAACCAGGTTTTGGCGCCGTTGTATTGTAGCAGGCCGACATCTGATCAAGGTTCTGTTAGATGTAACCGGAATATAGCGGGCTCCCAGGCAGAGCTGCCTTTCTTCGTGGCCGAGCTGCCCGAGGGCAAACGCCTGGGAAACCTCATTGCGGTGTGCACACAGATCGGTGCCTGGCAGGGGTGTTGTTTATTCTTGAAGGGCCTTTTATGCAGATTGTTTGGGTCCTAAACCCTAGGCCCAAAACCCCTAAGCTTTTATGTAGGTTGTTTGGGTCTGTGATTGGTTACTTCGCTGCCAGGGAACATTGCCCCGATCATCTACAAAGCGCTAACAAGACGACGGCCCGGCAACCTTGTTTGTGCCATTGGATTCTTCCAAGTCGTGGCGGCCGGGGCCTTACTGAGAGGATCAGACTTATGCTTGGACATTTCAATATGTCCATGCCTGCAAGTCTACTGGGCACACAGTGCTGAAGGAAAGGAGCCAGGAAGTTGTTCGAAGGTGTTGGTTCGGCCTAGTGAGGTCATAGCATTGGTGGCCTGCTCGGTGATGTGGAAATCGACACCGATCCTCCTTTTCTGCACGGTCTTGGCGGGAAGCGTAGGTGTGGCCAGCTGCGCTCGATGTCACACGTTAGCAAACGACACTTCGGCCAGGATGCATGAGCAGTGTCACCTACTGGGCGGCAGTAGCGCAGCGACCTGCCTCCTGCGTTCGTGGCATGAGTGCCGCCACCGCAAGGGCTCTTCCTCTCTCTCTCTCTCTGTCTCTGTCTCTTCGGCTCTTTCTCTTGTCTCCGTACCTGCAGTCTCTTCCTTCGCCCCGCCTGGTCCGGTCTTTTGGTGCTGAGGTGTGGGAATGACTCTTGGTGGCCTGCTGGCCACCGGATTTGCTGCAATGTGCCCCGGCAAGAAAACACATGCCTCTGCTAGACCGTACACTTGGCACTACCTAATTGCTTGAACCTCGCACGTTCTGTGGGAGTCATGGGACGACGAATCTAAGCTCTGCGGAAAGCCAGACTTAGTCATCCACGGGCGAGCCTCTTTGCAACTGGCCTGTGTGAGCATGCGAAGGCAGCTAGCTGGATGTGACCAGAAGTCGCCGAGATTTGGTCCTGCTGCCTTTTTCATACTGGCTGCTGTCATCCAGGCTTCCGTCCTGAACCATAGACTCGAGGTCGAATCCGCAATCTGTCCGTTTCAGATTTCAACAGGCCGGCCAGGGAGGAGCCTTCACAGCGAAAAGCTGCGGTCAAACGAGCAGTCAGAACGGGCAGGCAGCTGCTGAGAATGGTGCGCCCCGCGAGTGCGGTGTGGGTGATGGGGTAAATTCAGTGTGCGAGATGTTCGGACTACCAGCTTATGACTAGAGCCACAACAACCAGACAACTCTTTGACCCAGGCGCTCGGTTGGATGCCCTTTCTCTAAGCAGCTTGGCCATGGCTCGCAGCCTTGGCAGAGCGAGAGCGAGAGGGAAACATGAGAACTCGCCGATAGGTCCACAATTTGGTAGACTAAGCTTATGTAAGCGAGTGCAGATTGAATGTTTTTTGGTGTTGGCATGATGGCTCAAACAGGTACCTCTCCTGCAGAATGCGAAACTGCGAAGCCACCCATGCCAAGGATTGCGACCCGGCTGCCAGCTAGCGGCTGAACAGGCTAGAGCCGAATCCAGATCTGGCTCCCTGCATTCAAACAAAAACGGGAACAAGCAGCGAATAAACTCAGTGCCACAACACGTGTCGCGTGAACACGAAGCATATCCACCAGCAGGCTGTCAAGCTGTTGCTTCCACGTGGCAGTTGCAGCAGGGATTCAAACGGGCCCTAGGTAAAGATGATCATCAGCTCAAGCCAAGGCGAAATTCTTGATGGCTGGCTGCTTCTTAGTCTATGCCACCACATACACCATGCCGACTTTGATGCCTTTCATGGTCCGCTCCTGATGTGATTATAGGGGACAAAACCGTGCTTGATCAAGAGGCTTCGAGGGGCTGAGCACAAGTTGTGAGAAAGGCCGGACATTTCACCAGCACCACGGCGACTTGGCTGGCCAAGTAGCGCGCTTGAGTACATGCTGTGTGTGCGTAACCTGCACTCCAACAGTCGCCCTGGAAGGAAAGCCAGCAACTGCTGCTGTGGATGCAGGTGCTGCAGAATTCAGGCAGCGCCCATCATGTTTTCGATGGACTAACATATCGTTGCATGTCGTAGGTTGGGTCAGTCACGAGTCCTTACCTGCTTAGTAGTGCTGAGTGCGATTGCGAGAGGCGAGAGTCGATATCTGCGTAGTTGCCGCTGTTTCAGCTCCTTTTTTCGATTTGCGGAGATCTGGTCAGGCGATGTCCTGGGACGATTGGCCACAGCTCTAGTGCATGGAAACAAAATAGTTTTCTTTACGTGGATGCTAATGCTGACGGCCAGCGCCCAAGATCGAAAGAAGTCACTGGCTCAAGCTGACATGTGTAACGTTGCTTGAGGCTTCGTTCGCCATTTGTGTGGTGACAGCCGTGTACGACACATCCCTATGGCAAGCAGCTCAGGTGCAAAGGTGTCAGCCATCTTGCGCCCAGCAGCTAATTTTCAATGAGTGCTGAGGTTCAGCTACAGTTTCGCAGTGCTGCTCTTGCCTGTGATCTGTGGCTTATTCTATTTTTCTCGTGGTTTGCTGGCGGCGGGCTTAGCCTCGGCCGGAAATGACAGCTGGCGTCTTGCATGGCTCTGGCATGAGGTGACAACCATGTATCTCTATGCGCGCGGCCTTGGGCAACAACGAATGGCCGTCGGCTCGGGGCGCTGAGGAAAAGCGTGAGCTTTCAGAAAAGTCTCCGGGAAAGGGATGTCAGGGCTCAAGGCATCTCAACGCCCAGGTCCAGGAGATCACCGAAAACATGGGTTTCTGCGGCCAGATGGGTGCCCTCATTGCCAACTTAGCAGCTTTTGCCGCTCGGTGTTGAAAGTGTCAGGTTTGGGTGAATCTGTGCAGACTGCTTGGTGCTGCCCGCTGTGCTTGGCGTGAGCTGCAGCCGAGGTTCTCGTCAGTCTCTGGGCCTGAGGCTTGACAGTACCGGCATGAGTTTCACTGCGTGTTACGCGGAAACCGAGAGGTACAGCTGAAGACCAAACCGATTTCGCTGTACATTAGCTTCCCAGCAATCTTAGAGTCTTAGCGCCTTAATACTTAAAGTGTCAAAAAAGCCTTAGAGGGGGCATTTCCGGAAGCTGCTTACTCGGCATGAACACGGCGGTGACCGGCCTTGCTCCGAGCTTGGCGTTGGCCGCCTTCTGTGTGCGCCACAAGCAGCCCGCCTGGTGTCCTTGTTGGTGCACAAGCTTCCTTCTCGCGGTTTCAATTCCCGGGCACGTCGGCCAATTGGGTCGCGAGCCTACAACAGTTAGTCTTCGTGCAGCAGGGCTCAGGCACCTCGAAAATGCCTAGTCGCAACGAGGAACTAGCTAGGTTCGGATGACTGGAACAGCAATCGAGTCCATCATGCCGTAACGTATCGTCTTAGTTGCAGCCCAAATGTTTGTGAGAAGAAGTCTGCCTGTGTAGTGCAGGGCAACTGCGTATCAGCAGCGGAGGTGGCTGAAACCATTTGCTGCAGGAGTAGGAGTTTAGCATGCCACACAGGCGGGATTTTCTGAAGCTCGTAGGGCTTGTGATCTCGCGATTTCGTGCAGGAGGAGCTTGTCAAAACCTGGCAGATGGAAAGATGAAATGCTCGCTGGACGGATGTTCGTTTGGCTTGTCCCTGTCTAGGTACGAGGAGCTTGGGCTGTCCGTCAGCTTATGTTCGGAGTGCCTCCCTCGCCCATCCTCCTGTCTCGGAGCATCTCGGAGCTTAGCCGCCTCATGGCTCTGAGGCAGCTGCGACCGAGCTTGGCCGCCTTGAAGGAACGGCTTGCAAGGCCTGGGCAGCGCAGAGCCTGGCAGAAAAGCGAGCAAAGAGAGACGAGAGACCTCCAACCAGACCTGACCGGCCAGGGAGAACGAGTACACTCGCTTGGTGGCTTTGCTTGCGCAGGCGATGTGGGAGCATGGAATGTGGCTTTTGGCGACTACCCATTGATTGATGTTTCGATGTCCCCTTTGTGAAGTCTGGGCTCAGAAGCACCAGGAACATAAGTGCCCAGTTCTAGCCACTCCTGCCGAGCTCGCCATGATCGAGTACCACCATGGATCCCGGTTGGCAATAGCGAGTCTAGATGGCATCCGTGCACAGCTCTAGACGCGATGTGAAGCCAAGGACGGTGGGGAATGCAGGTGCTTTGTAAACTTCGAGGTTCAGTTGTCCCAAAGGCAATGATCTGGTCTGTGCCGTGCAGCGTGCTGCTCCGTGGTTGCAGAGGGTTTGCGGCTTTCGCTTTGCCTTCGGCCTCGCCGAAGAGAATAGACAGCAGTGATCTAGGCTGCAGCCAGGTGTCATATGTCAAGTTCGCCAAGGACTGTTTTCATCCACGTATGGTGGCGTGACGCCATGAAGGAGTACTTCGAGAACGCGTCCGGGTTGGATAGCATCTGGTCTGGGTATACCTTCATCCTGGGATTCCTGATCGTCTTCCGAAGCAACCAAGCATATTCTCGGTTCTGGGAGAGCGTAGCTGGGCAGCAATGGCGAGAACGGGAGCGTCGCATGTGCGCAGCTGTGTGCAGAAACCGATTGTGCCGAGGTGTCGCTCACACACAAGATCCGTGGCGAATGGACCAGCGCATTCAGCAGCCTGCTAGGCTTTTGCACGAAGAGTGCAGAACGAGAGGCAGAGGTGAGCCACTTCCGCCCCTTGCTTCAGAGATGCGACTGCGAGAGCTCTATCTCAACTTTCATTCGGTTCGTGGAGTTTTCCTGCATCGCCAAGGCGAATACCTGCTGAGATTGATGAGCCTGCTGCACTGCTATGCGCTTCACGAGGCCAAGGAACTTGAGAAACCAGTGTGGTGCAATCAGTCTGTGCCCTTTGAGAAAAGGTTGCAGAGCTGTCCGACGAGACGAATATCGAGGTCGTGGATCTTGCTGGCCTGAGTTCAGAAAGCATCGAGTACCTGCACGCCAGTCCAGACAGGCCACTGCTGTTCGAGTCCGCATGTGCGAAGGTCCCATGTCTGATTGTTCTAGATTGTGTGTTCAGGTGCGAGACGGTCATGCTTTGGATCGAGCGTCTCATCGTAGAGAGCGAGAAGCAGAAACTTTTCGACGTGGCTCCACCGGTACTGTCCAGAGCCTTCCAGGAACTATCGGACGGCATCTCGGCACAAGGGCCATCGCAAGTGTGTGCAGGAAGCTGCTTTGCGGGGTGTCCGTCTCGCTTCGCTGTGACAGTGGTGGCCGGTAGGCAGGGGTCGGTGGGGGCGGGCGCCGGCAGCTGGCTTAGATTCGTGATCTGTGGGAGGGGAGAGGCCCACGACAGTGCAAGCCCTTCCTCATGAATGGACGGTGAGTGTGGACTAGGCTCTACGCAAGTCATTTGTCTAAGCCCGCGCCAGACGAACTTGCCCGACATATGTGGGCATGGGCCCCGCTCCCGCCCCCGCTCCCGCCCCCGCTCCCGCCCCCGCTCCCGCTCCCGCTCCCGCTCCCGCGCTCGCTCTCTCTCTCTCTCTCTCTCTCTCTCTCTCTCTCACTGACTGTTTGTTTGCGCTCAGGTTTTGGGCGCCGGAGTGAGTAAGGGTGGATAGGGGTGTTCTGTGTGTTTATGTGTCTGTTTTTATTGCATGTCCGGAGCCGAAGCTGCAGGTATGGTAAATGTTGCAGAACTGCGAAAGATTGTGGAAGTACCCTTCCCTTTTCCATATTCGCAGTATCTTTCCTTCATGCTGGTATTGCATTGGATCGTGAGCCCCTTGGTGGCCGTGCAGCTCATTTCCGAGTGGTCATGGGCTGGTGGCACGGTTTGGTTGATTTCGACCTCTTACTGGACCTTGTGCCTCGTCATGCATTCGTTACATTACTTCCCTTTGATCGACGGAGGCCACCATCAGCAGCTCGATTGCCTCAACGCACTTGAGGTTCTACATTGCCCAGGAGATCGACCAGCCTTTCGGCCAGGACTACAACGATCTCCCAGTGGTCGAGATACAACAGAGATTCAACCAGAGCTTGATGCATTTGGCCTCGTCCCTTGCCAGATTGGACGAAAGGATGGGAACTGCAGTAGACTAGCGCATAGTTAAGAAATACCGACCCCTAAG